AGAGTTGCCTAGGGAAAGGTACTTGAAGTTTTATAGGTTTTTACTGAAATGCAAAGTACTTCCATCTAGAAAGTTTCCTACCATGAAATAGTCTGTTACAAACAGTGGTAGAAAACCGTTGATGGTATGGTGTTTTTTTTAAAAATTGCTTAGTGATTTCAAGCAGATACACTTCTATAAAACTCCATAGTAAAAAATATCTGAATTTATAGAAATACTGAATATATTAAAAGTATTAATATGAAAAAATTACCTGTCTGATACACTGGGTCCAGTTTTTCTGAGTACATATTTGTCTTACAGAAGTTGCAATAAAAGCACCTAATAAATTTAAGATCTCTTTGGTGTTTGTTAATTCATGAAAAATGGTTTTGGAGATAAATAGAATAAAATTTATTTACAGACATGAGAAGAGACTGAGAAGTTGAGAACATTTCAAAAGTTTAGGTTTTGTGGTTTTTTTTTAAATTTAGGACATAAAAGGTCAGTGAAATTGAAATCAATACAGTGCAATTAATCACTCACTGTATTAATTTTACAACAGATACTGCTACATTAAGATCACAAACAGGTTTGTGAAAGTAATTGTTTCATGTTTGTTTTGGGGTTTTTTTTGTTTGTTTAGAATTAATTCCAAATTATGACATTCCCTTACACTTTTCATCTTTAATTGTTGTTTGACCACAGCACGTGTTTGACGCACATATTGAAGCATCTGCTGAATTTCTTCCTACACTTCAAAAGGCCAATTCCATGTCCACAAGCCAGGATTATCTTCTGTCTCTCTGCCCTGGCTTCCATCATCCAGCTGGTCCCAGCTGCCTTGTTGTGTTGTGGGAGGGTATTGTAGCTGGGGTCAGTTCCTGAGCAGGGCAGCAAGTTGTGGAGTGGCACTACTGGCCATGCTACTGCTGGCACCTGCGGTACCCACACGTGTTCTCAGTAAGGGCCCTGCTGTTTTCTCAATGTGCTCACCAACTCATCAGCTGCATCATCTTTTTTTCCTTTTTCAAACTGGTAAGGGCAGTTTGGATTATTTATGTTATTCATTTGAAAATAAATATTCACAGTAAATGCATACTTTGGAATATTGCAATTTGTCCTTCACATCTTGGGAGAATGATGGTTTCTCCTCATGAAAAGCACCAGCATTTTCTAATCTACAGACAAGCTGATCTATATCTGATGGAAACAAGAACCAAAAAGAAGCTCTGAAGTTGTGCAACAGTATTTTTAAAGCATTTTAAAGCACCTTTCCCCACCATTTTCTTTTTCCTGTGCTTTCAGGGCAAAGGGGCATTGCTTAATGCCACACTGCAGAATCATGCAGCTGGTGGACGTGCACTTTTTTTTGTGTTTTTCTCAGCTGCAACCAACCAACAGTAATATTCAGAAGGAACTTTCTTATACTTGCAGCTGCCAATCTAGATTCTGAAGAAAAAAGAGGGAGCCCTTCAAACTTTTGCAGAAGCAGAAAAGCTACTGTAAAACATATAACTTTTAAAAAAGGAGATAGGGTAGCACCAGTATGAATTCTATTTTGTGTGTTTCCCAGTTTAGTTGCATGAATTTATACCATTAAAGCTAGTATTTTAGTATAGTTTTTGTACAGAAAAATCTCAATAAATGAGAATGTAAATAGAGTTCTGATTTTACCAGCAAGACCTGGGTGTTACAGTATGAAAAAAGTAATTAAATATTTACTTTGTAACTTCAGATTTTACACTTGCATTTCAAATTGAGATGTGAAAACAGATAAAATTAATGTTAACAATATACAGTTTTCCAGTATTCACTCGTACTGTAACCACAGGGGATTACTTTGCTGTAACATAGATCAGGGTACTGAAAAATTAGTGCAAGAGAATGCTTTTATAAAGCTTCTCTTAGCATTTAATACAAATTGACAATATCATGTGGAATTTTTTTAAATTTTCTTTTCCACCAATTATATGTTTAGCGATCACTGTTAATGTGAAGTCACAGTAAACTTGGCAGAGACCATCAGGTAACAGTAATGTAGCATTACAGAATGTTCCAGAATATGTTTTAGTGATTTTTTTTAAGCAGCATAATAGAGCTCCATAATAAAATAAGCCTTGCTGTTAAAGTTTTCCTTTCTAAAATAGCGCATTGGAAATTGAGTGTCTGTGGCAGGGTGGGGAAGGAAGAAGCAATGTAAATTAGAAAATTGTTTCAAGCTAGTGGCTTTCACTGTAAGTATAGTATAAGCACTTGAGCAGGAAGTTTAATCACTGGAAGAAAAAAAATCTTCAAAGGACAGCTACTTATTTGTTGTGCTCAGCCCTCCACTGTTCTGGTGCATTAGAGGAGTTCATTCTTCTTTCTCCAGTGAAAACCGATCCTCCCACCTGGTGCTATAATCCGATTGCATCAGTACAATGTAGTCAGACCCCGACATGAGTAGTGGCTCGTAGCTGATGACCACAGGATACAGAGACCCAACACATGATTCCATTCGGAAACTTTTAAGGCTGTAACACTCACCCTTATTAAGGAAATAAGAGAGCAAATATTAAACTTTTTGTGTGAGATAAGTGAAAAAAAGGCATATTGTTCTGTACATTGAGCTGTATTCACAGGTTACAAGATATCTCAGTTAATATATTCAACATTTACCCCTTTCTTCTCCCAATTTAGCCATCAAGAAAAAAAAAATAAGTCCTCTAAGATTCTTTTCTGCTCTGTCAGCCAAGAAAAGGAGCATCTTATGTTTCCCATTAGTACTTTTACAGGAAGCATTATTTTATATTGAATTCTAAATTTCACTTGGACCAGAGGAAGTTTTAGTAGTAACTTTCCTTTGCACTTGTTAAAACACAATTCCTTTTGCCCCTGTAATCTACTGCTTTTCTTTGCACTTCTTGGAATTCCTTTTGCACCTGAATCCTTGTGCTTTTCTGCTCTCGCAGTGTAAAAGTTGTAAAACCTTCAAGCTTTTTGCTTAAATTGAACTTTATTCTGCAAGACTGCAGATCACAGAGCTTTCTCAAACACATCTTATTTTTTATTTATCCTTTCTTTTAAAATTTATTCTACAAGACTTAGAATTGTTCAGTCTTTGGAGACTGTGTGTTTTGCCCTTCTCACTAGATTCTTTGTATAAAACCTGCTCTTGCTACTCAACCTCATACCTGAGTTACAGCAAAAGGAAAATACTGACTTCCTACAGAAGTAGTTTTATAGTTTCTGAAATTACTTAAAAGTAATAGGAAAACAGAAATTGTGCCTCTGTATGCCTAGCCACCCATTAAACCACTATTCTCAAACTTCTAGGTGGAATGCATTAGTACTAAATTAGTATAGAAAGCCTAACTGAGGCCTGATTACAGTCAAAATGAACTCACCTATATTTGTTTTATTAGAAAAAGATGCTTTTAAGCATACTGGAATCTTCCTCTCAGGCAGCATGACATCCATCTGAAAGTATTCAAGTCACTACATCTCATTTAGGTGACAAACTGAATGAAAAATAACACCAGAATTCCACCTGCATTGCAGATGGCTCAAAATACACGATGTTTCGTCCTTCATTCTGTTTTTGCAGGAGCCATTTAGTGAATTTCCACAACGGAGCCATTAATGTATAAATGTAAACCATGAAATGCACTTTTATGCATTATATTTTCTTCCCTTCTGCTGGCCTTTAGCTCTTGATGATGACAAGGAATTCAAGGAGGAAAACACACTGCATAATATCCATACGTGACAAAGGCTCATGTTTTCCATGGATGACACAGGACCAGAATTTTCTTCTAGACTTCTTTCTTACCATTAAAGCAAGTTCTTCACTTAATGCCTGCATTTCTGCTTTGAACTTCTAAATCAATTGCTAGTCTAAAAGGTTTGACTGACTCATACAGACATCTCTTAGAGTGTTTTAATAATTTTTTCCTGATCTATCCATTCTATCATTTACATTAACACATTTTATGGTCTGTTTCTACAATTTCTTTATCTTACACCATGAAATATGTTTCCTCTTGCTTCTTGCTGCTACAATTCTGTCTCAGCTGAACCTTTGAAAGTTCAGCTCTTTTGGTGAACTTTCAGAACTTAAGTGATTTCAGAGTTTAGCATTGGATAAGTTTTCCACGAGAAGAAAAAATATTAACTCAGCTGATGCTCTTAAAGACCTATTCATATTAACCAGATTAGTCAAAACAATATGGGAATTGTACTAACATCTCCAGCCAAAATTTCAAATTGCTGAATTCAGTCTTCCTAAAGCAAACATCTTTCTCTTCCTGTCTCTCTTGGATAGTATAGCACTGTCAGTGTTCCCTCTAACTCTGTTGCCCAATTAATTATAATACCAGATAAAAATACATGAAAAATTGACCCTACATAAGTGCTAATGGACTGTGAAGGATGATGGTAAAGAAAACCTGCTTATACACATGAGTGAAGCATGTAAGAGCTTTGTTTTGTATTTACTTTTTTTCAGGACTCCACAGAAAAATTCTCCAGGCAAACAGCATGAGCTGGATCCCACACTCTACACATCAGTGAGATGTTGCTATGCTGAACGCATGAAAATGATCTGTAGTTTCCAATCTCGTTAACAGTGAGATCCACGCGCCCAAGAACCTTTGAACCTTCTTTTTTACATCAGTGAAATCGCGGGCAGTGGGGACACCAGACGTCCCCAAAATAATAGTAAATATGTTATCACAGCCTAAAATAATGTTAACCTCTACCAATGCAGAAATGAAGTCACATTGAAAGAGACCAATACTGCTGTACAGTGAATGTTTGATAAATAACACAGCTGAATGCCCGTGCCCACAATTGATAGTCTTTTCTGTGTGAATTAGATGTGTAATCTTCATTATTCAAAAACCAAACAAAACTTTAGGATGTTCCTAAGTGCCCTAAGTATGAAATTCTTGTCATATTGTTACAGATGCATGGTTGCACAGACGTTTTCCTCAATAAAGAAATCGGTTTCAGTAATTCCCAAGTGTTTCCTTTCCCACCCTCCCACATCTGGCTATTTGTTTTTGCCTCTCCACCACCCCCTGCATTTTTGCAGGCTTTTAAAAGCAGATCAAATCCTCAAACCGAGAGGTATTATATACCATTACTAGGGATTGAGTAGTCAAGAACAATTACAGCTGGAGTACTGCTGCCAAATGCTTTGTATCATTAAACTGTAGTCTTGGGAAAACATTTTGAGAGCCATTGTATTCCCTTAAGAAAGTAAGCATAGCTAAGTGAAACTAAACTCAAGAAATGATTTAGAAGAGACAGCAGGAAAATTTACTTAGCAACTTCTAGGAGAATGGTTTATCCAGATTTATTTTGGATAAATAGGATAACTTTTGGACATTTGGATAAATTTGGATTAATATTCTGGTTTTGTTTACACATTCGAACATGCAAGCCAGAATGAATAGAACACTCTTCTCATTTTATATTCTTAATGCTGATTATAGCGAAAGGCATGAGTCAAACACTGACGCTACCTAATATTTAATCAGGGTAATTGAGAGTATTGAAATGGTCTTCTATCAAATAGATACTCCAGATTAAAGTACTGTTCTGGACCAGCTATTTCTTTGTAATTTGCTGACAACTTTGAAGGTGAAGAATAACATACCTAGATAAATCAGATGGCAATACGTAGTGCGATTTTTTCCTCTTCTCTTAGATGCACTCTTCACCTTCTTGACTGTCTTTATCTTTCCTGCTTTCTTTTCCTTCATGAAGTTCAAATGCTTGCATGCTTATATGTAGTGCCTTCTTGGTATCAAACACACTATTATATGCATTGTTTCCTTCCTAAAGGGTCAATTCAAGGCTGTGCTGCAATTTAATACTCGCATGAGAATTCAGCTTGAGTTCAATAGTTTGTATATGGACCACATTCAGAGTCAATTGAGTTTTAACCTTCAGTCGTTTTTCAGATCTGCGTTAAGTTATTCACACCACGTGCTTTTAAGTCCTTTGCTGATTTTTTTCCATTGTACTGAATTTAAAATAGTTAAAAGAATGCAAGATGAAAGCAAGAGAACTGTAGTACTATTTTGAGGCTTCTTTGTAACCTAGATGAGTCAGACAATGTATTTACTTTTTCACATAGTGTAAATGCTTCAGTGCAAGGACAAGGTAAAGAAAGGACTGAGAGTCTCTACACATCCAATCATTTTACTCTTGATAGTAGAAGATAAGCAGCAAATTACTACTCACTTCATTTTTACTTGGTTCATGAACAGAAAGCACAGAGTATACAGCACAGCCATTCCTCAAAATGAAAAACATGTCTACACTGTATCCAACCTACTTCAGCTAAAAATTAACATAGGCAGGAGACCACCTTACTTTGGAATGAAGAAAGTTCCAATTAGGTCTTATGTGAACAG